TAAGTGGAATCAGCAATTTGTGAGAACAATCGCACAAATTTGCAAAAACCGGAACAACTACTTATTTTTGCTCGTTGCGCAAATCGCAACAAAACTAATGTGCCCACAAAATTTACGTTAAAACTATGGTAAAACTGGAAGTCACTTATATTTTGAAACATGTTGAATGACTTTTCTCTGGAACCCAATGGCCTACAGACATCAAATGGTGCGCCCATCCAGTGGCCACAGTTCGGCCTCGTAATGTTTTTTGAATTTTTCATTTCGGAAAATTTTCATCGGGATAAAGTTTTTCAACTACATTTGAAGATAAAGTGAGATTTTTTGCAATGCTATTAGGGGGATGTCCGTTTTTTTAACCTTTTTTTGCCCTTAAATTCTTTTCACACAATCTTTTGCAAGCAATATCGGAAAATTCATGATTTTTCAAAATAATAAATTTGCAACATTTTTAGATTATCAATTTTTTTTCTATAAATTACCTAAATGGGTACATTACCTTAGAATTAGCTAATTTATAGAAAAAATATTGATAATCTAAAGATGTTGCAAACTTATTATTTTGAAAAATCATGAGTTTTCCGAAAATGCTTGCAAAAGATGGTGTGAAAACGGAACTGAAAGACAAAAAAAGATAAAAACTGACATCCCCTTTATAGCATTGCAAAAAACCTCACTATATCTTCAAATGTAGGTAAATTTTTTTATCCCGAGTAACGTTCAAATAGTCAAATTTGGCAAAATTAGGAAACAAGTGTAGTCGGAAATTTGGAAGTAGCACAGAGGGTTTCAAGCACAGTTATAAGTTAACAAATTTTAACTTAGCCAGGAAAAAAATTTACGGGGCTCAGCAAACAACAATTAAATCTGCAATTCAGAACAATTCTACAGACTTGAGCCTTTCTTGTGAAAAAATCAAACCAAAAAATTCAAATTTTTGCCAGTTCCTTTTTTAAATAAGTTTGTTTAGTTTTGAAGTTGCGTGTCGGGAATGGCTAACTTTAAAAACTGCTTACTTGAGCCAAAAATGCAAACCAAACAGTTCTTTTGACAATGAGGAAGATACATAGTGGTTCATTTTTGTTTCTTTGGTACTTGATTTTGCAATGAAAATTTACAACAAAAATTACGAGGCTAATCTGTGGCCACTGCATGGGCGCACAATCTGGTGTCTGTAGGTCACTGGGTTCCAAAGACAAGTCAATCAACATGTTGCAAAATATTAGTGACTTCCACTTTAAAAATTTGCTTGGTTACTGCTCACAAATAGTTTTAACGTAAATTTTGTGGGCACATTAGTTTTGTTGCGATTTGCGCAACGAGCAAATATAAGTAGTTGTTCCGGTTTTTGCAAATTTTTGCGATTGTTCTCACAAATTGCGGATTCCACTTATATTTTGCGGAATTCGTTTACAAAATGAGGATTGCGCTTATATTCTGCGGATTCCACGACAGCTTAAGTGTACTAAACATAAATATTATGATTTTTTGTGGATTCCATAATTTCTTCTGGCTCCGAAAATTTTGTTGCTGATTCCGTAAAGTTACCTCTTTCTGGATCAATTTTGAGCAATACGATGTTTCACCTCTTCGTCCGTGGAATCCAAAACAGCAAAGAAGATCAAAGAAAATAGCAATGATGCGGACTCGGTGTAAAGGAGGGTATAGTATATTTATAGCTCATTACCCTTTTTATATTTTACCTATCTCCCATTTAGACCCGAAAACACCCTAATTTTGTCGAAAAATACCAATTATCGACCAAACTGTTAAATTCAAATTTGGATATAAAATTTTCGAACATAATGAACTTCTGCGCAGTGAGCTACTACGTAGTTCAAACCCCTAACAATGAAAACCGCGCGGAAAAAGACTCAGTAGAAGTTGGCGAAAACAAACTTTCTGATCAAAATTTTTTCATGATTTTCCGCTTTTTGTTTTTGGCCTGTTGTGGAATTCACTTTTAACTCACAAAATGCCTAGTTTGGCCTCATAATCAGAAAATAGGAAGAAAAGCAAAACACACCCGAAAACAAAGATCTGATGATTTTTCCTTCCAAGGACTCCGGCAATGAGCAAAACCCAAAGAAAGAAGCGACTTAGTTCTTAGTTGCCTCAAAAATCTCAATTCTTCAAAAAATGGCCTCAACAAAAAACACTCAAATTTCTCATGGCCAGACATTCAAGCTAACAGATTGAAAAGTTTTCCTCTGGATGACTTATGATCACGCACTCTTTGATAATGATAAGACAAGGGTTTCGGGTCGAGCACTATGCAAGGCGGCTCAATGTTGAGTTCGAGTAAATCAGTAATCTGCTCTCTGAGGTCACTCCAGTATTAGAGCACTCCTTTCTTTAATGTCTAGAGGCTAATTTGCAAGCTCGTAGGAAATTAAAACATGGTTCCCGAAAAGCTGAAAGCTGGAGATCAATCACTTCCCGAAAAACTGAACGCTGGAGATCAATCGTTTCTGCTAGACACCGATGAAATCTTGCTTGATATGGAATTAGCTTCTGGATCTATGAGATCTACTTTATGCAGAAGTAGGCGCAAGTACCCATCTTCGCCAGATGAAGTACACTTGTCGGAAAATTCAAGAAACTCCTCCGTTTTCTAATGTTTAAACGTACCTCTCAAAAAAAAACGTGGGAAGACCTTATCTGCATCTGTGTGCTCTACTCTGCTTTGCTTCAAGTCAACGAAATATGGCTTCCAACATCTGACATATGTTACATCGAACCAGTCGATGATATGTCTCAAGGTTGAGAAAGCATGTAGTGTCTACGGAGCTGCACACTGGGCGTGTTAGATGGTTCAAACATGTCAAAAATCTTCCCCTCCCCGACTCCAGCAAAGAGCAAAGAGGACTCCAGCAAAGAGCAAAACCCAAAAAAGGGAGCGACTTAGTTCTCAGATGCCTCAAAAATCTCAGTTGTTCAAAAAGTGGCCTCGTCAAAAACATTCAAATTATTCATGGCCAGACATTCATCAGATTGTTTGGCCGGCATCGCCGGAAGATATTTCAGAATTGCCGTTAAGGTGTTGGTCTTGTTGATTTTTGAGTTTGAGAGGCAGGGTCTGGCCATCGCGGAAAACCATAAAAGCACGATGAAAGCCGAGATTATGTGCTGACGTTTCTCCCAATGATACCGGGCTGTTGAAGATAAGCTAACAAATCGAAAAAAAACCACCAAGTTTTTCTCTGAATGACGCTTATGAACAAGCACTCTTTTATGGTGATAAGACAAGGGCTTGGGTCGAGCACTTTGCAAGGCAGCTCATGAGTTTGCAATATTGAGTTTGAGTGACTCAGTAATCTGCTCTTTGAGGTCCCTCCACTAGGAGAGCGCTCCTTATTTCAATGCCTAGAGGCTAATTTGCAAGCTCTTAGGAAATTAAAACATGGTAGATGTGCTGGCCGTATGGCATCCTACCCGAAAAGCTGAAGGCTGGAGATCAATCGTTGCTGCTAGACAGATTGGGAATCTTACTCGACATGGAATTAGCTTCTAGTGTCTATGCGGTATACTCTATGCAGAAGTAGGCGGAAGTAATCATTCTTTGCCAGATGAAGTACACTTGTCGGAAAGTTCAAGAAACTCCTCCCTTTTCTAATGTTCAAACGTACCTCGCAAAAAAACCGTGGGAAGACATTATCCGCATCTGTGTGCTCTACTCTGCTTTGCTTCAACTCAACGAAATATGGCTTCCAACATCTGACATATGTTACATCGAACCAGTCGATGATATGTCTCAAGGTTGAGAATGCATGTAGTGTCTACCGAGCTGCTCATTGGGCGTGTTAGATGGTTCAAACATAACAAAAATCTTCCTCCTCGATAAGATGTTGACCTCCAACAAAAATCTTCCTCCTCGTTGACCTCCATAAGATAAAGATGCTTATCATATGATTTCATACCTGGAATCTAAATTTATATTGGTTTATTGGTGTAAATATCTATACTTTGATTGAGGTGGTGACAAAATGCAATTTATCTCCGAGACTATTGCTACTTACCTTATGGTTTTTTCAGTTTAGAAAAAATTTGGCAGTTATGTTTTTGGATTAACAAAAATCGTACGCGAACTTCAAAATTTTTAAGACTTTGCTTCAAATGAAAAAAGACTGTTTGATTTTTCTTTGATTATGCCGACAACATTTTTCTACTTTTTTCAATACTCAGCGCGCCTATTCTTTCACACTCTGTAATCGTTATGAAGTTTTCGGTAAAGCTTCGCCGTTTTAGTGTATAGCTTGCGACACTGTTTACTAGCCGAATTCTGTTCTTCAAAGCCCAACAAACTTTTCCCTTTTGATTGACCAAAAATTGCGTTTTTCCTGGCATGTGCTCCAATCTCAAAGTTAACACGAAGAGGCTCCTTCAGGAAAAAATTGCGGTTTTTGGCCCCCAATTCGCTACAGTAAAAAAAGCTTGAACATTAGAAAAAAAGGTGAGAAAGCTCGAACGATTTAAGAAATGGATGGGTTGAGGACGCATTTGTTCAAACTTTTCCAGCATTGACAGCCAGAGCGCTTAAATTTCTGTTGACAATAAAAAATGCATAGCGACAGGGGCTGAGATTCGACCCCCTGCCGACCCAAAGGGTCCCCCTTTATACTATTTTGAGATATCCATTTTTGCCTGACTGACGCTAAAATATTTCTAAAGGCACCTTCGGCGCCAATGTATACAAATTTTTAGGGGAGAGCGCGCTCCAAAAAAATGCAATTTTTGGTCAAAATTGTCCAAAAATTGCTTACAAACGCCTTTTTTTACCTGTTTTTTCTTCGAAATTTTGCCTGCAGCGCGTAAATTTTGGCCAAAACAGGTTTTTTTAGTGATTTGGAAGAGCTGGAAAAATCAATTTGCTCGACCTAAAAAAAAAGGTCCACAAAATTTTTGAAAATCCGCCCCCCCTCCCCTCGAGAAAATCCTAGATCTGCCCCTGCATAGCGACCTAATTTTTCAAGCGGTATAGTTTTCAGATTTAAAACACGTGCCAGCACAAATATTGTATTTTTGTAAATTTATTTATAATTGTTCATCGTTCACAAGTTGCTCCTCGCCGTTTTCTTTGGTAATTTCAGTTTCTTTCTTCGATTCTTCGTTATTTTCTTTTGCCCAGTTCAAAATCTCACTTTTGTTCACAACAAACTTCTTTTCAGCTAACTCTGTCGGGACTTTGTCGATTCCGCCGTATATTTCCTCTTTCGGTTTTGGCCAACGAGTCGGAATGAGCTTCGGAATGGGCCTCGGCACGAACTCCGATTCGTATGTCGTGGCATGACCGCGTATCGGATGTAACAGCAGCCTCTGACTTGCAGTCGGAACAATGGATCCGGCAACTTTTTCCAAGTTTTTGTTGCACCCATGTCTCGTGTAGTTTTCCTGTCTCAGATGCTGAGGCGACTCAGGGTTTCGAAAAACACGACCTGTGGTCGTCTCGAAGCAGCTGTTTGACCTCTGAAGTCGCATGTTTTGCTCACTTTTTGGCTCTCGCTCCGCGTTGAATGCAGATTTGATGTTAACACCAGGCGGCAACCCTAGGTAATTATGGAAATACGAAGACGAAGTTTTAGCTCGGATTGCCGACTGAACTTTCCGGTCTCCGAAATCGGGAGTTTGTGGAATCATCAGGCCAAAAGGCTGGCTTCTAGGCAACTGGTACATCATAAATGGCCTCAAGGGGTGTGGATTGTTCCGTCGGTTTCCACTGCCAGAACCCGAACGAATTGGCTCCATTTTGCTCGGCTCTTTCTCGTAAAACTGTGTACTGTACGAAGAGGTGTAATGCTTTCGCAAGTCACCCAGTTCGTCGGCAGCACTCGGGTAAGCCGAGAGTGGTCGTGTAATGCACGTTGCAGTCAGGGGACGATGAAATTGCCGGTCGTATGTTGTCTCGTACGCGTCTAAAATTGCCGACTTTTCTCGTCGCAAACTGAACTGCGATCTGTTTGTGGCCTGACTACGTGTAGATCCGAGAGGTGTCTTGACACGAGAGGTGGTCGGTCGGCTTTCTGTAGTCATTGGCCGTTTTATGACGTCATCGGCCTCCGATTCTCTTAACCAGGGAACGGAACTCTCGCCGTTGATAAGACAGGCACATATTTCCAGACACTTTCTTCGGTCTGTGACAGTTGATAGCTTGTCAAAGTAACTTAAAATGTTTCGAGCATTGATTGCGTTGAGGTCTTGCCTGTCTTGAAGTTCCAGAACCAGCTTTCCTTCCAGATATGTTTTCAAGAGTCCCAGATGGGATTCTTCGCATGTGTGGAGTACTTCGTAGAACTGAGAGTCCAGAAGGTCCAAGACGTCGCCAGCTTGTTCGGTTGTCTGGAGTACATTGCATTCTTGATGTCTTGTGACAATATCCGAAAGTAGTTGCTTTCCAGTGGATTTAAGCGGGTTTAAAATATCTCGGTTGCTAGAGACAACCTCAGAAGCTAACATTTTGCTTACAATTCGCTTTACAGCAGTATAACTTTACGAAGCACGCATCTTAAACGATTTTATTTTGTATTGGTATAGTTTAACACGAACACTACAACTAGAAGTTTTTGATACTGTAATGAAAATTGAACACAGAAAAAGGCACGAAGCTCTTGAGAAATGAAGAAAGTATAAAACTTCATCTGTACAAAGCGATCAAAAGCGCCTGGCTAATTTCAATGACTTACAGTTGTCAGCCGTTGAATTTTGACGCACGATTATCATTTTGATCAGTGGTAGAAATCTGTTTTGGCGGATTAATTACTTGAATTTTTTTTCATGAAGTGAAAATCGAACTAACGAGCTCTTTAGGTCTATCTTAATGAAAAAAAGACGCTGGAGTCTTTGTCGAGAATGACACCCATTTCTCTATCAACAAAACTGCAAATTCTTTAATTATTATCGCAGAAAAATTGACGGGAGCACAGTGGCGAACGGCTTCTTTCCGGTTAATTCCCTTCACTTCCTATTTGATACTACTTAACGATACCTGATTTTAGGTCACGTTTCCTTGAAGTTTGCATAGTTGAGGGTCACATATTAAGTTAAGAAACGTTTACTGGTTTAGATAACGTTTAAGAATGCTAGTCACGAAAAGTATTAATTTACAATGAAAGTGTTTCTTTTTTAATCGAACCAACAGTTTTAATATTTATCATTACGAGGTAGAACTGTGCACTGGATAGGCGCACAATTTTGTGTCTCTATGTTCCTGGAATCCAGAGACAAGTCTCTAAACATGTTACAATTTTGTCGGAACGGTCAAAGAGAATAAAAAGATCAAAAGAAGAATAAAGGGAGCGTCTTTGTTGGGGAATCCGCTTGCAATTCACAAAATACAAAGTTTGGCCTCGTAATGCTACGATTTCAATTTTCAAACCTTGAAAAAATTGGATTTTTAAACGAATTTCATCATGCTTGAAATTTTAGAAATCCGCAAAATATGGGACGTTTTTGAACTAGGTTGAAGATGCTAAATTTATCATATTCAAATTTCAAGTGATAAACAGAAAGTATAATTGTTCAGACCAGACCAATTAATGAGTGGGCAGTAGCTAGCGTAAAAAATATTGAAAACATAATTTTTGGACAATAACAAAGTGTAACGAAATTAATACGACCAATTAGCTAGCCTCAATTCAATTCGGAACGATTTTGTTCTGCGGGATAGCTCGCCACGCATAAATAAGTTGCGTTACGCTCTCAGCATTAAGGATAAACTCCTCTAAGCGCAATAATTTAGTCCAGACATGGCCAATTCGGCAAATTTCAAACCACCAGGACTTTACAAAAAAAACTGGAGATAAATTATCTTTTTAAATTTGAACTCAGGAAAAGATATCTTCAATGGGGTATTAAAAAATGTTTATTGAAAACTGTTATTTCGATCGGCAAAAATTAATTGACTAAAAAAAACAACACCGAACTTAAATATTCCGTTTTCTTCAAAAATCGGAACAAAAAGCTCGTAACTTGAATCAAAAAAGCAGGTAATACAGTGTGGTATCATTTTCAATTTGTTGTTTGTACTTTTTTGAAACTTTTGTTCCTATTTTCAATTTGGGAAAATTAACGCGCGACGTAAGCGGTGATTTAATTCCAAATTGAATTGAGACATGCCAATTAGTGAATTGACCTTAGGAGGCAGTCAGAACATTCTTGGCTTCACCCTGATACGAGCAGTCCTGTTATTCATTCTGCACTTGAATTGGCTTCTTTTTGAAAGTTTTCATCGCTATAAATTTTTCGGAACCAAAAATAAGCACAAAAAGGGACGCAAGTCGGCAAAGGAATGCTTTGTCAAAATACATGACGCTCCAGAGTTGATCAAACAATTTTCCCGCCTGGTGGCTGTTCTATCAAATCACAAGCCATTACGGGCAGTTTGATGAAAAACTGGGACAAGTGGCAGAGAAAAATCTGAATTTGTCACCACGTTCTGCGGGAATTGAAAGTGGTTTTTCTTCTATCGGTTGTGTCGACATTGATGTACAACATGAATTGGGAGCAAAAGCAGCAAAACTTGCTTTTACACTGCTAGCTGTTAGAGAGATCATCATTTTGGATAGTCTAATTGAAAGATTTTGAACAAAATTCGAATACTCAAGGACAAGGAGAATGGTCTGATCTAGATAGTGAGCTTAATAACGAGCAAAACAAACAAATTGAAGACGTGTTGGCAGGTAATTGAACAAATTAAGCGGTAAACGAATAATTTTTTTCACAGTTTCCTTGCCCTCAAATCCTCCATGTCAAAGAAGAGCGGATTCAAACTTGACTGAGAATATTTCAAATAAGCAAATCAATTATCCTTACCTTATTCCTTGATATCATTGCTGTTTTCCTTACCGTGTAAAAGAAATGTTCTATAAAAACAAATCATAATTATAGATCGCAGCGCATTTGGGCGGAGTAGTAGTTGCTGATTTTTTAAAAGTGCATCACCCCCAGAAGTTAAACACCCTTGCAGGCCAAATCGTTCACTTCTCTTTTAAAAATCATTTTATAGTCAACGAGGCCCAAAATTATTCCGAAAACCGCCTTTGTGATAATGTGTACAAAATTCGAGCAGGAGAGTGTTTCGAAAAAGACCAAGTTTACAATGGTCGCTGTTTATATATGTTCGTTAAATAAAAAATCAAGCTCAGGGCAAGGGCTCCGAGCTGTTTGATTAAAAAAAAAGAAGATTCATTCTACTTTGATTTTGTGATTGCTGAAATTCAAAGAATTGTAGTCTAAATAAATCATTTTTCAGAGTCTTGTAATAATTTGGTAGATTCATCAATTCCTAAATGAGTTATTTGTTGCTTTATGATTTGTTACTGTAACACTAAGACGGTTATTTATGATTGATAAATTATGCTTTGACCGAAACTATTTTTATTATGTTGTACCAATTGTTTTTCCAATTAGTGGCTGTCAATGTCCAGTAACTTAGCCATCCATATGACTAAGTTCAAAATACTTTTTAATTGCTTTTTACTTTGGTTTTAGCTACTTTTTGTGACTTTTATTTGAAATAGATACCCCGGTAGCTAGTAAAATTTTTACTTTCAGATTATGTGAATAATTAATTGCTTTCAACACTTCAAAAGAACTCACCCAATAAATTAATACTGCTCAAATTGTTTTTGGCACAAGAATATAGGTATTTTTCAATGAGTTCCTACAAAAATACTTGATTTTGATTGTATTTAACTAAAAGTATCAAATTAGCTTTTATAGATAATTTAGAAAACAAAGGAAATAGAACTCATTGAACCGAAAAACAATTATTATTCAAAATACTAGGTCATTTTTCACACAAGTTTTTAAAACCTAATTCAAAAAAACCTGATTAAGCTGAGCGCATAATGATAAAATTCATCTTCTAGAAAGCAAAGCCTTATAAACTGGAACCTCAAATTCAATCAGTTAACTTTTTAAAATCCTCTACAGGAAACTTTCCACTGGTCTTCGCGGTACCAAAGCTCAAATTAAGCAGTTTATCACTTAACAATTGAAAAAAAATGTTTTTTTTTACATATCTTTGATAGCAGTTTTTACAAAAAAAAGCAAAAACAAATCCGCAAAAAATCTTGAAAGTAAATCACTTCCCAAATTTGATTTATAAATGGCACTCATACAAGTAGAAAAAAAAACACGATCAAAATTGGTCAACAAATAAAGACCGCCAACATTGGACAAAAAAAATCAATGAACAAGAAAACCGAAAAAATCTATTTTTTGAACATTTTTCTTTCGAATTTCTAGCAAAAAATATAGCAGGGTAATATTCTTTGAAAACTTGGAATGCTTCGCCTTTTAAAAAGTCATAAGCTTAACCTAACGAAAGAAAAATCAAAAAAAATCTGCCACAAGACCTTCATAAAGATAAATTACTTCATTCATTATCATTTAAACAAACGGGCGAGAGTCTGAAAAATTTCCAGTTTACAAAAAGACAGCCGTTGTCTTCACAAACATATGAGTCATCTCTGAGCCAAATGCGCTCAATGGTCGATTGAATTCAATTTTTTTTACACAAAGGCGAAAGAGTAATGAACGCAAGGAAACTAAAAAAAACCGACTTGTTTTTTCAAATATCTTCAACTTTTGAATTGCGAAGAAACAAATAGCTGGCCTTAAAGCGAAAAATTTAATTTTCCTTAGCAGGCTAGTCAAGCGAGGAAATTTTCATAGCGCGTCGTTTCATAGAGCGAATAAAGTCTCGAAAAATTAAGTTTTTCTAAGCTAGGTTTTCAAGTTATAAAACTTTGAAACATTTAAAGTTATTTCAGAGCGAATCGGTTTGCTAAAAAATGGATTCTCTAATATTGGAGGTTGTTGTTTTTAGTTGATTTCGCTCAGACTTAAATATACTGCAAACGCATAACTTAGTACAAAAATTGGGCAACTACTGTCTAGCCTTGAGTTCAACTTGTTTTAAAAACTTAAGAATGATTGAAAGTTCTATAAAGTTCTTCCGTTAACGCCGCATACATATTAAGCTCGATGGTTGCTCTGAATGATTCTTAAACGTTATGATCTAAGCCTTCTTAAACGTTGAGCTTGACAGACGTTGCATCCATAGCGTATTAAGACTTTCAATTAATATATAAGATTTCACTTTAATTTATGGCCGCTATCGTTGTAATTTGTAAATATTAGTAGTTTTTACAAAAGACTTATGGTGCGTTATTATACTTTCTCAAATCGAATAAGCGACTGGTTAATTTTACCTTCAAAACTCCAGAAACTAATGCAAGATTTTATTGCACATAAATTAAGACATTCTGCAATTTGTACGTACAATATAAAAAAATTAAATCAATTTATCAACTTGTATCTGACATTTTTTATTTATAGAAATACTGAACACATTATTTATAGAAACAAAATTTAAAATATTTAACCAAACTCAATCAAAATACACTGAAAGTATCGCATTTTTTCTCTTTAAATTGAACATCTGTGCGCAAGATTTTCAATATACAGAAAGTTGAAGTTCATTTAAGGAAGAAGCACATTTACATGCAGGGATACAAGTTATTTACATTGCAATCAACCCCGTATTGATAACTACTTTTACAAACGATTCTCAAATTTGCAATTTAAGGATTTTTCTTTACAAATTTGATATATTCACAAGCTAAACTAATCAAATCACAGTAGTTAGATTTAGTAGATTATGGTATTGGATTCCGAAAATAATTTATTCATAATTATTTATAGCAGCAGCATATTAGTGTAGAATATTTGAATTCGTGCATTTGAAATTTGTGATTTTGCCCCGTACAACTTATGTTCAAAAAATAGTTATTAAGCCAATCGCAACAAAGTTAATCATTCATTGGCACATAGATAGAAGCAAAGGTAAACATGAGCAATGGTTGTCATTGGTTAGCTTTCTCAGCTATGTCAGAATTTGGCAATTTGTCATTAGGAAAAACTTTCTTGCATTAAAGCTAAGGATTAAGTATTCGGATAGTTGATATTTTATACATTTTTGCTGCAACTTTTTTTCGACTGATTTAATTTTGAATGCCAGGTCATATTTGGGAAAGCCATATCGCGACCACGTAAAACAAATTGGATCCACTTTTAAATCAATTAATTTTTTTGGTTACAGTCAGCCATCCACCCCCCAGTGAATCTCTAGCAGATTGAAACTAACTGATTGGTTGGAAATATAATCAAGTAAAAATGATTATACCCTGGCTTTATAAAAGAAGCAGCGTCAAGTTTAGTGAGGTCAACCAAAGCCTCCCCATATCTTTCCAACGTCACAAGTGTGATCCTTGTCAACTCATCTTCGCTTAACAAAATATGCACCAAGTTTGGACGCGACATGAAAAATGGAATTTAAACGCTTTTTGGTCAAAAACGTGAAAAAAACCAAAATATTTCAACCAACCGGAAAACATTTTTTTTCCAAGACCCTTGCTGTCAATTTCGACTCGCTCCAATTTCGATTCTTAAAAAGATAACATACATGAATATGTTGATCTGAATCTGAATACACTTTCGCTGCATCTTTTTTACTTTTAAATTCTCGGTATATAAATAGGCAGGCGTCTATCTGAGAGATGAACATTAGACGTAAACAAAAGCTGCATAGAATTAAATAGTTTCTCATCCCGAAATTACCTTATCGCCTTCTCAAAAAAGGTGGTCTATTAGCCCTCAACCGCACTTTAATAGTTGGTGGTAGGTGAAATATATTTGGAACTTTTCCCAAGTGGTTGCAACTTTAGGCTGTTTTTTGTCTGACTACTGCTTGCAAGTGCATGCGTAAAAAATGTACCACTTCCTTTGTACATGTAATTGCCAATACTGGGGAAAACAATTTTCCACGTACAGCAGCAATGCTTTGTTCCTTTCTTCTTTTCTATTTTCACTCATCTCATATTAAACGATCATTTGCAAAAGTCGGACCGGAAAAGATAAATTTTGTGTATAAACTTGACAATTCCGCAGTTTTGCAAAAACGCAGAGGTTCAACTTGCTCATTACTATTCAGCGTCCTTATTAACAAAATAGGTCATTTTCAGTTGCTTTTCTCAACTATAACGGAAACAATCTGTATTAAGTGATACCATATTTCACAGAAAGAGTGGAGCATAATGTGCTGGGGTTAAGCTGATTAAATCAATTGTGGGCTGGGCAACCGCGGTACAAATATGAGAGAAAGGGAAGGTAAAAGAAGTCATCTGATGTCATTTGGTTCATCTGAAACAAGTACTTGAATCCAGTTATTTGCGATAGTGATAGAAGAGTCAATCATGAGCTAGTTTGGGATAGCATCCAGTATGTAATGGTGAAATATTTTTTGAAAGACTCATTTTGGAAAAAATTTTATGCCAAATTCTAAAACCTGCTCATTATTATTTAAGCCTAAACTCATTACTTGTCAAAATAGCCCCAAAAATGACTTAATAGCACATGCGATTATCCAGCAAATGGTAAATCCGGATCTATCGTCGCTCAAACTGAACAAGATCAAACATTACACCAATTCTCGTTGATTTAAGGTAATTTACTCAGCTGCTGCCAATTGATTGGCTCCATTATACTAATTCATTCTAAATTGAAAGTCCGAAAGTAATTGAGCTGATTACTCAGGATGGTTCGTACCTATGTGTAGCTATTAGAAGCCATTATTACGATGAAGGAACCAGGATCATGATTCAAGCCGCAACATCTTCAGCATTTTTGTATCTTTAGTTCTGAATCATGGTTGTTCATGTGTCATGATTCTGTACTGATAGTGTTTTTGCTGTCTAGCAGTTGCCACACGCCCCCGTCCCCGCTGAGCCGCCCGAAGAGTCGTTGTGCTGATTGGCATGTGAACCGGAGCCTCCTAAGTTAGTACCCCTTTCCCTGTTGGTGGGCAGGGTAGTTTCCTCTACACTCTCTTCTATTCGCTTCATTACCATCCCAAGCAGACAGTTTATCGCTTCTTCCACATTCACCCCCGTCTTGGCCGATGTTTCAAAGTAGGGTAGCCTAAACAACAAAATTTAAAAACTGAATTGAAATAGCAAAAACTTGAAAAACCTACAGACTTTGAACACTTTACATGTGTGTTGTGACATATCTCTACAAGGCACTGTAGCCGGGCAAATTGTAATTATGCGGGCAACTGTAACCGTGCAACTATTGACTTTAACAAAGTTTGTGAAACTAAAACAAAAAATCATTTTACTCAATTCTGAACTGTTTGACTTTCTCACGTTTACATGTTGATAAACTAGGACTTTATCTTAATTTGGTTAGGAATCTAAGATTTAGGAATAGAATTGAAATATATCAATGTACATCAGTGGAACGAAATTGAAAAATTTCTGATCCGATATATATCAAAACGTACTTGAAATTATTTTTTCTTCAGTTTCTGCCAGATGCAATAGAAACTGCTTTTTTTTGCGCGGCTCAAAAAACATTTACATGCAACAACAGAGAAACGAGATTCAAATCATAGCTTTAAAAATGAACTTATTTATTAAGCTGTTTTCGATTTCAATTATTTTTTTGTGAAATCAATTTTTCTTCAGTGTTTTTTTTCTAGATGCAAAATGCAGCCATTTTTTTTGCGCGGCACAAAAACATAAAGGCAACAAAAGAGAAACCAGATTCAATCAAAGCTTCAAAATGGACTTGAATATTTATTAAAATGAGTTCCACAAATATTAATCAACCAAAACAAAAGAACAGGCGAAACACACATAATAGTTATTTAAATTTTACTGAGGACTTTATTTCATTGTTTTGGGATCATCTAGTCGCTCTTTTATCCTCGAAAAAAAAAACATAAAAACAACATAATTTAAAAAATCCAAATAAAAATCCGTTTATTCCCAAGGCGCTAAAAGACAGCAACAAATTTCAATTAGTGTTTCCAAGTCGAACTTTTTTTTTTTTAGAAAACTTCAAAATTGAGCTCGACCCGTTTTCAAAACTGGTGAATGATCAACTTAAGTAAGCTTCCCCATCCATATCTCTTTTCATCCGACCGAATCAACTCATTTTTGTCCGAGCGAGATCAACTTCTGCCATTTTGATCTTGAAACCAATGTTGATCTTGACTTCACCACTCGGCCCAACGAACTTTAATTTTTTTTTGAAATTATGTATTGCTTTGACTGTTTAACGGTTATTTGTTACACATAGAACCGAACTAAAGAACAATCACACAGACGCAAAACATCTAAGCAACAAAGATCACAAGGTCAAATCAATAATATTAATTCTGGACAAATGTCTGGTACAACTTAGAATTTCGGACAGTTTTGTCATGGACATAAACTATCATTTTCAGAACCACAAAAAATTATCAAGTCCTTTAAACAAATTATTGATAAATTCTAAGAGGGTAGCTCTAATAATTTGGCTTGGTTCAAATTTGTTTTTGTTCACTTATGTATTTTCTCTATTAATGGTTAAAATGAACGCTTTTAAAACTAATTCGATCATATTTTAACTTTTTTTCGATTCCGTTCTACAATTAAAAATCTTAGTAAAAGTAAAATCTAATCAAACTTATGCCCGAACAAAATTACATCTCGAGAAAATTACAACAAAATTACATCTCGAGAAAAATACGAAGATGTCATCATTCGCTTCGCTTTCAAACATTGAACAAGATTATGCTAGGAGTTTGTCTGAAACAAAATAGATTTCAATGATATTATTTAACCATATTTTTCTCAAGTTTTAAGTTTGCAAATGGCTAAAATATACCTTTATAAATTAGCCTTTGAAATCCAATTTATTACCCATCATTACCCAAGACAACATATGGGCTTTACACCCTCTTGAACATAGCCAACAGAAATGAAAGAGTCAAAAAACGCAGAAACAAAAAATTGTAACTTGCAAATTTCAATGAAAAAATGGCATTTGAATTTCTAGAACAATTCATGTTTGAATTTTTTTTTTGATAAATTAATCCAAATTGAGAAAACTGGATTAATAAATAACATTTTTTCTGAAAATCTTGGGAAAATCTGATAATTAAAATCCAAATTCAAAATTAGAAGTCATCACGCTTTTCATGACCTTTAATTGTCGCTGTTTGCTAGTGGAGTTTGCCTTTTAATAAAGGATATGAACAAAACTTAGTTTGCCTTTAACAAAAGAAATGAAGAAAACTTAGAAAGAAATCGAAATTCAAATCGCAAAAAAGTAAACCTGAGCCTGATTGGAGAGCGCAACTTACCTTACCTTTCTTTAAGCAGATGGAATTGAATTCAAATAGCTCATACATACTTAGAAGCATTCATAGAGCATTATTACGTATGAATGAAACTCTGTAGAAAATTAGAGCATTTTAAGATTTCTCCATTAAAAAAAAACAAAAAATAATCCGGACCTATCTAAGAGTCTGAACTACGATCATCGACTTTTAAAAAACATAGAAAAATTTATTTCTTTCATCAAAATTATTGCGTTTTCCTAGTGTTCCAGTTTATCTCTGATTCGCCAAGACAGTCGATTATTACTCGAAGTCGCAAAACTGCTCGTTGTCGGACTTCTGTCATTGGAGAGCGTTATTTGCCCTTACTTAAAAAAATCTAAGTCTAACAATCAAATTATAAAACGCCAATTCTTTAGTGAAAAGAAGGAACTAAATGAACTATCGATCTTGATTTTATTCATGTTCACGTTTCATCAATTACTCTGTTTCGTTCACCACGGGGACCCACTAAGGCTGAACTATTAATAGAAAATCAAACAAACAATTTATCATTCATTCTGAGTAATAACAGACTAAGCAAAACAGGAAAAATTAGTTTCGTATAGCTCAACGCTTCATGCTAAATAAACAGCATCAAAAAACAACGGACAAGACGTCAAACTGATTTGCGGTTAGCCAAAATTAGGGGTCTTTTACTTCCTACTCAGGGGTGACAGTAATGGCTAGGGCTCAGAATCATTTCCCCATGTAGTCTTCACAATTACGGCTTTTTGCGGAAGAAAATTTCATTAAAACTGATCGGGCTTTATCAATGCGCTTGATTTCAAGTTTGATCTCTCTTTTTGCAGGAAAGGTTTTCAAACTACGAATTTCAAACTAACTTAATTTCATTTACTTTCAATTTCGAGCTATGTTATGGTGCAAAAAAAAATCGATAATAAACATGACAAAATTAGAACATAGCCAAATGACATTTGGATACGAGTTAATGAACGCAAGGAAACAAACAAAAGCTGAAACATTTTTTGAAAACTATCGAAATTTTTCCAAGTAAACATAAAAAAACAATTTTTGAAAACAAATAAGAAAAACTGAAAAATAAAAACAAATTTAATTTACTTTTTTTTTCGAAACAATTTCCCCAAATTTTTGATTCATAAGATGAAGCTTGAAATTCCAAAAACTAACTTAATTTGAGTTAAACTAAATTTTCAAGGCTTAAATTAAGCGTAAAGAAGCTAATGTAAGTCTGCTCACGAAATCGAAATTAGACTAAAAATCAAAAAGTTCAAACCGATTTTCCTCAAGACTCGGAAAACTTTTCATAAAGTTTTTAAGGTCTTTCGAATCACGACTGAAAGGGCTTTAATATGATAAATCATTCAACTCAGTCAGATGATTTTTGGTGGGAACTGATTTTGCGTGGAAAAAAAACTAAAAAGACCAGAGTACAAAGTTCCTCCCCATTTTCAATGGTCGGAACAAAACGACCAGGGGAGAATGCAGGCACACTAGAATGTAGGCGGTATTTCTATGAATAACCCTTTTTTGAAAATCTGTGAAGAGTTTTTACGAACAAAAAAAATTCCGAAATGTTAAAATTTTCCAAAGCATCTCAAAAAAAATAAAATAAAGAAGCCATATCCTTTCATAATACCTGTTTTTATGAAACGGTAATTCAAGGGAAACATGCCAAACAATACATAAGAAACTCAAATTAGCAACTGAACAAAACTTACGAAGCGGAAACAAGGCCGACAACCTTTTAGCAGACACCAGCTGAGCCGAAAAAACTGATTATGTAAACATCTTTAAAACGTTTCAAGTCCCCCTGAAACTAACCTGTAGTAATTAGTACCCAGCCAGTAGTTAAATTTGATGAGAAATTTCATGAAATTAAGCAGTTCAGGTGAGGAGCATTGAGCATGTCAAGTGATTCAAAAGATATTTTTAACTAATTGTTAACGCGAAAAATGTCTATATTACGATTTGATAATGTTTGCTTATCGCAAGCGTAATAAGCCGAAAGCATTTAGGCCGAAAAATTTTTTTCAGCAAAATTTTTTTTTAATTTAAAAAATACGAAATCAAGTTTAGTAGAACTACAAATTGCCGTAGTAAATGGAAACATAAAAAAAACTACAATGAAAACTGCATACAGTAAGAAAAATTCATCGATGTGGCAACTGAGCCTACAAAACATAAGCAAACAAAAAATAAACCGACGATTTATTTTAAACGGAATATTTCCTAATTGGAAAAAAAACAAGTCCTGATCAGATTCGAACCCACAACCTTTGCCCTCCTTTCTATATTCCGATTTTATAACGCTTGCAAATCGCAAGCGTAACTAAAATGTGTTGATATTATAGTAATGTTTTATAGATTAAATAACTTTTTTCACTTCCATTGATGAATAAAACGCATTTGTTAACTCATTACAAAGCAAATGTCGAAGCGCATTGCCTTATAGTGCCAATACAGCTTCCTGTTTCAACACAGTAGTTTTTTTTCTGCAAATTGGCTTGGAAAAATGCATCTACTATCACACTACGCTCCGCTTGTATAAACATAGCCAAGAGACAATTGGAAAAAAAGTCAATCAACGCAAGGAGACAAAGAAATACTGGCTTCTTTTTTGAAGAAAAAATCGAATTTCCAAAAAAAAATTATGATTGACACTTTTTGATAAACTTAATCAATTGGAGAAAACTTGAACAATAGTTAAATTGTTCAATCCGCCGCGAAATCTACAAATTATAGTACACTTTCAAAACTAGAAGTCGATCACGTTCTTCGTGGCTTTCACACTGTTGCTGTTCGATAGTAAGAGTTTGCCTTTCTCTTCAAAAAAGGAAATGATTTGATCTTAAAAAAACTGAAAATCAAATCACAAAAAAATCAAATTTGAGCGTTTGAGCCTCAAAAAACTAAAACTTTTTGCCCAAGACCTATATATAAAAAAACAGCCAAGACCTATATACGAGTATTCACTACGCTCATGTCTCTTTGTAAAACAGCTATAGATGCCAATATAATGCCAATGCTAGCCAAAAAAAAGCAGCTACAGATGCTAATAATTTGCCAATTCCAATGTTATGCTTATTGCCAATGCTAAAAAAATGCCAATCCAAACTTTTCAAACGCTTGTCTCGGAAGAAGTTACTTAAGAAAAAAATTTGCCAGCAGTAGATTTACAATGGCGCATAACTTATGCATAGGCAAATCAGCCAAAGATTTGAGAAAAGGAAACTTGAGCTACAAAAATTTAGTGCTACAAAAATTTCAAACTCGAAGTTTTCAAGTTTCGCATACCCATCTTAGCTTACACATGAATGAAAATATACTATGGCCCTATAAACGACGCAATATGCGGCGACTTAACCGATATATGATTATCCGAAACTCTTTTCAGTCGAATAAATAAAAGAAAGTAAATAAAAAAGGGAAGTAATAAATATTCGGAACTGGTTTAAACCGAGCATAAACACAAAGATTGAATGGACCGGGGTATTAAAATACAGACATGCTCAAAATATGTCTGCGAAGTCAACAACAGAGTTCAATCGAAAAAATGCAAACATGTCCCGAGTACATTAGGTGGCAGGACAATCTACCCTATTCCAAACTACCCTATACCATTCTACCCTATACCATTATATCCTACATACCAATCTACCCTATGCCAATCTACCCTATACTAATCTACCCTATACTAATCTGCCCTATATACCATAATGAGGTATCATAATGTAATCTTTCAAAGTCCTAATTAGAATCGGAAAGATACAGCACGTGTTAATTCATTTGAGTCTAAATTTTTGGACTCAATTTGAGTCTTTCACTTAAGGAAATTGTTCTAAAGACTAAATCGCAATTAGAGCCTCAAAATCTGAAATTTTTTCAATTAACAAGTTTTAATCCCCAATTTTCAAAATCACGTGCAAGAATGAAACCAAAACTACGTCATTATATCAATTTTCTTTGGAATAACATCTACTAAAATGAGTCAAATTTCTTGGGGTTTATCCCAACAGAATCGGCGAACGCTTGTAATCGGTGGCCACGAGTTTACGAAAAAACAGGAAACAAAGAATGGAAACATTCACTGGAAGTGTTCAAGATGGGGGTCCCATAAATGCAAAACGACAGCAATAACCAGAGAAAACGATCTTATTTCCTGTAGAAATGAGCACACGCACGAAGTATTTCCTGGTCGTTCGGATGCAAGGCTTCTCGTGCAGAAAATGAAACAGGACACAAAAATACAGCGAAAACGTGTCGGACAAATTTGATCTTGACGACAATATCACTCAAAAACTTGATGAGGTAGCCTCATACTTTCAGCGCACCTACATTAAAGGCGAAACCATCGGAAGGAATTCTCGCGAACCTCTCTTCCCAGTAAACCTTTGGAATCATTCCGAAGAAGCAGCTGCTGGGTTAATAAGGACAACAAATGCTGTAGAAGGCTGGCATCTTGGCGTTGCTACTCTCTTCAAAGGAAACCACCCATCCGTTCACACCTTTCTGGAACAAATAAAACTGGATGCTGCAAATCAGAAGTTTAATATAATGAAAGCAATGGGAGGAAACAGCAACCCCAGTCGAAAGAAGTACAGGGAATTGAACGAGAAAGTGAAAAACATTTGCAAAAATTTTAACAAAGATTCTATTTTAACCTATTTGTATTCTCTCGCGCAATTAAGTCATTCCTAACTCAGTTTGTTTTAACAAACTTTGTGAATTTTTCAAAAATTCAATTTAATTTCTAAAAAACATACACTTTTTGAGGTTCCCGTGGCCGTAGAGGGCTGAAATTTTGGGAGGTAATAGAGGCCAATACCAAAAGAATTTTACCTTCTCCCTCACCCCGCCCCCCAGTACCGCCTTGGCCTGGTACTGGGGGGTCTACCCCTCCTTTTGTGATCAACTAGTCAAACCCTCAGTAATTTTCGAATTTCATTCAAAATTTGACTTCTTGGTGATTTGATCTTTCGACCTTTTGATTTTCAAACACAGGCATTATCCGCTACGCTATGTCGACTTGATGTGATATGACTTTTGTTTGTTTAAGAAATAGCCGCAACGCATTTCTATAGCAACATTGGATTAAAATTTCTGTTCGTTCATGCTTTGAACTCATTTCCATTTTGAACGCGCAAGTTTTACGTTGCTTTGATATTTTGTTCACGTGCGTCAATTATTCTTTGATCATAATTAATGGTTCTTTGATTTGTTCGGAAACATACTGTTTCGGATTCTTCAAGAGGATGGGGTAAGTTTCAATTGCTTTAATTATAGGGTAGAATGGTATAGGGTAGATTGGTATAGGGTAGATTGGTATGTAGGATAGAATAGTATAGGGTAGATTAGCATAGGGTAGATTGGAATAGGGTAGAATGTCATGGAACCGTACATTACACTTGCTCTCGCAAGTTTAAAACAATGAGGAAAAAATTTAGGACAGTATCCCAGGGAGTGTACTTTTTATTTTATTGAGCATAGTTTGGGTATTATGAGTATGTCTGCATGATCTTACCCGAACTTGTTGGCCATGTCTTTGCCCTGCTCGTAGGATATTTTGCGGATGTCGCTGATGTCTTCCTTGTTGGCACAGAGCACTATGTCAGGGTTCTCGCAGTAGGCGTGCATCTGCAGCTGCGAGATCCAGTTCCTCACGTTCATAAAGGAGGCCTCATTCGTCATGTCGAACAGCAGGATGAAACCCATGGCATCTCGGAAGAAAGCAGTGGTCAGACTGCGGAACCTAAAATCAACAACAACCTCTTTATAAACTGCATCTTTTGTACTTTCACCCATCTTCACGCACGTTTCAGTTTTATTAATACAAGCCACCCACCAATAATTTAGGACCTCCTGTTAATTTATGACCTCCCAGATAATTTATGATCACCGGATCGCTGCTGTGTTTAAATTATAAACTTAAAAGATATCAGGGATATCATTGTCAGAAGAAACCATATTGAATTAATTACTTCCATCCTAATAAAGTAAAATTAAATTATTTCATTTCAATATTTTTGAGCTACGAAAAATATATCTTTGGAAGAATATTATCTAAATGTATCTTTACATCCCTGTATGATATCAGTGTTGAACTTTATTACATTTCGAATTCAGCATATTACTAAAAGAATAGGTAACAAAATTTTCAAAAGAAAACTGCGTGGACAAAAAAGTAAAACAACCTACCACTTCACACGTATAGAAATAAAAATCATATAGAAATAACAACAATCTATGATGCCAAGAAAGCCATAAAGCTGCAAAAGCACGACAGACATTACTTGTTTTCTTGAAGGGGAGGGGGTAGTAGTTGTTAAAAAGATCCAAAGCTTCGAATTTGGCAAAGCAACAAAAATCAATTCACTACTTTAAAATTCCAATTTTTACAACAATTTAAGTCTTCAAGTAAGACTTGTTACTGATATGATATGGTCATTAGCGATAGCGGATGTATTTAGCGGAAGCGAAGCGAGACTCCGATTAGCTATTAATTCATTAGCGGTCCCACCTCTGATGGAGAAACTAGTATAATGTTTCGAGCCTCTTCCGTGTTCCCTTCCTTAACTGAAATTAAACTCTCAGTACAGCATGTTTTTAGCAACTTATCATGAAAGTAGGAAAACAGTCTCCGGTCGAAAATCACGAAAACATCAGAACACTGACATTAAAGTCCAGTTTTGGGTTTAACAATCAGCTTCATTTTTTTGGGCAACAGCATTCCAAATATTTTATGAATCACAAAAGCTGAGACACATGAAATTCCCAACCGTGCTTTTGACAACTTTAGCTAAACAGCCTAACTGAAGCTACGCAAACGTCAGCGCTGGTTTCAGTTTGACTGTTAAGGTAAAATTGTCAAAAGCACGACAGGGAATTTAATTTGTGTCTCAGCCTTTGTGAATTAAAAAATTCGGGAAGATTGAGTCATATACTTAGAGCCATATATTTTCACTTTGAAATTTGACATTTTAATTTCTGTTTCCTTGCTTGCATTGACTCTTTTCGAACTTTCTGATGATTATGTTCGTTTACAGATTTGCTGACCAAAGACCTTGTTCAGCAAATCCTAAAACGAACATAGCCAACAGAATGTTCGAAACGAGTCAATGAAAGTAAGGAAACAGAAACAAATGTCGAATTTCGAAGAGAAAAATATATGGCCTTAAAGCTCTTTGAATTTAAAGAACACTTTATGATTGATATTTTCTGATAAATTTATTTCGATTTGATAAAACTGTACCAGCAGGTAAAACTTTATCACATTCGAAAAGAAGCTTTGCACCACTTGCGGTACAATTGGGAAAAAATTGAAAAGAGAAACTGAAAAAAATGCAACTGCCAAATAAAATTTAAATGAATCAAAAGCAAAATATCTAGTTTTGAAAAAAAGTACCTGAGCAGAAACCGTTCCAGCCGGAAAAAAAATGGAGAATTAAAAACGAATTAAAAAAGTTCGTTTCACGCTCTCCCTCAAAACACCCACACACGTGCACGAACAAGTTTTCGGTCAACAAACGACACAATATAGGCCATTGAGATAAATTCAAATCATTTCGGCTGAATAAAGTTTTAAGCGAACTATTGAGTCGTAGCGAACTACAAAGTCAAGGCTACAAAAATTACAAACAGCAGATGTTAATCAAAACACTAAAAGCACCTACAAGGTAAATTGCGTACAGCAAAAAAAATTCTACGATGTGGCATCTAAGCCGACAAGACAAATCATACACCGATAATATTTTTGAAGCAGATTATTTCTGGTTTGAAAAAAAAAACAGGTCAGGTCAGATTCGAACCCGTACCAGGCATATTCGTAACGTCTAACGTCCAATATGACGGCGACGCAGAGAAATTTGAATTCATTATGAACTCAACTTAAACGTACCATTTCTAATTTTGACCATTCTTTAGACAAAGTTATTCAATTAATCTGTGAAAAAATTAAGAATCGATCACATTTTTGGTGACCTTTGCACTGTTGCTGTTCAATAGTGGAGTTTGCCTTCCTTTTAACAAAAAATTAACTGAACTAGAAAACAAACTCTCTCAAATCTATTTTTTCAACTTTACGCACAGTTACAGCGTGAACAAGAGGAGGGTGATCAAGAGCGTGATTAAGACAGTTTGGCCAGAGACATTTCAGCCAATTCTCCATTGCAGCTATAGTTCTAAATATTATCGATTAGAAACGGCTGGCAACGGCTTCGGCTGAAATATCTGGCGTATTTTGTCTCAAAAAAACTTGGTATAATATTGTCCAAAATGTCTCCTCCTGAAATGTCTGAACACGGATCAATTAGTTTGCCTCAATTCCGTTTGGAATCATCATATGAATTGCTTCGAAATTTCTATTAATTCGTCGCGTTTGAGGAAGCCCAGCTTGTCACCTTGAGCATCATATAATTTTAAATGCCACGCATAATTCAGTTCACAATTTTGCCAATTTTGAACGTACAACATTTAACGAATTTTCAGGATGTCTTTATCTTCAAAGTTAAACAAAATTTACCCCAACAACGTATTATTTCGGTATAATTTGCTCTAAAATGTCTCAATTCAATGTTTAATAGCGTTTAAAAAAATTGGACAAACAACAATGGACTTGCAAGCTCGCGTGTAAAAATAAGAAAAATTAAAAACAGCTTATAATATGAAGCCCGACCGCGAGCATAGAATTTTAAAATCGCTGTCCTGAATGAAAAAGACTATTTGTGAACTTACAGTGAAAATACAGACAACAGAAACAAACTGCTTGGCAAATGGGGCTACAGTAATCATTTCAAAAGATTAAAATATATATATATCGATTTTTTGTGGCGCGGGCTGATTAAATTCAGTTGATTAAATTAGACGTTAGAAGAAACAAAGATCCCCTCATTTTCGCTATTTTTATCAACTCAACTCCATGCATTACTCTAGTGATATATTGATCTGACTAGCAAAACTTTTTTTGCACTTTATATGAGCTTCTCTTCTGACGCGTGATTCTAGTTCGTCCTACATACTATTGGTGTGAATGAAAAAATGGAAAACAAACATTTTATTTACAATCACAAGCCCTGGTAAGGATGGTTAAATTTAGTTAGGCGATTGTTTTCCTACCAAATGCATACAATATACAATGAATTTTATATTAAATCCCGCCACTGTTTAATATTTGAATCAAAAACACGCCAGTGGTCACAACTTAATGCTTTTACTCGTTAAAAATGAATATACCAATTCACATCTTACACTACTAAAAAAAACTCTCACTTAAAATCCTGAAAACTCTCCCAATTCTTGACGAGGTAGACTGTTTACAATTGAGGTTGGCTGTTATTTAAAAAATCATAATATTCCTCTCAAGGTCTTTGCCTTATTTGATACCTTTTGCCTATTGATGGTACGACCAAATTGCAGAACCAAGTAGTCGAATCATCAGTACTATTTCTGTTTCAGTAACAGTTGGACTGAATAATCAATCATAAATCACCTCGCCATTTAAAATTTAATCTAGTCTGATAAAACTGACGTCAACCTATTCGTTTTTGCAAATTGCGCATGTAGTTTGACGTCGGTTTCTCTACCATCGTATCGCTATTCAAAACAATTACTCTTGTTTTCTGGATGAGTTTTATCAGTTAAGCGTTCTATCTGTTATTAAACACGAGGATTGCGAAATTAAGTTCTAGATTTTATTCACCTGGTATTGATGGCAGAATTTAGCTGAGTGAAATTTAGCTGAATAAGTACTTTGCCGAAAAAAAATCAAACATCGATTTGGTTGACAGATACTTAAACATGAAAAGCGTAACTAACAGAGTTAGAAAAGTGTCAATGAATTCAAAGAAAAAAACTTTCATTCCGAATAATCAAATTTGAGTTTCAGAGAGATCAGTATTGCTTGACAGCTCTGAAGGAAAAATCTTTAATAATAGAGACTTCAAAAAAAACGATCCCATTTGAGAACAAGGATAGCCGGTTACTGTGCAAGTAGCACAGAATGTTCCGACAAGTCTTAGAAAATTACAAAACATTTTTTTTCAAACTAGTGTCGTTTTTTCGGCGCGGTGTGATAAAGGAATTTGAGCGAAAAAGTAGAGCTTAGACATTTTGTCAGTCATTTTAAAATGTGCAAATTGAAAAACAATTTTTGAAGACAAATAACAAGAAAAACAAAAAAAAATAATTTTCATCCTTGAATTTTTCAAAATTTGTTCCCCAAATTTTGATGTTTTGATTTCAAAGATGAAGCTAAAAACTCCAAAATGTAAATTTTCAAGGCTGAAATTAAGCATAAATAAGTCTGCTCCACACGCTCGAAATTAGACGAAAAGTCAGAAATTTTAAACCGGTTTTTCTCGAAACTGAGAAAATTTTTGAAAATTTTTTTGATGTTCGAAACACGGCTGAAAGTGCTTTGATATGATATATTATTCAACCCAGATCGATGATTACTAGTGGTAGCTAATTTTGTGCGAAAACAAAAACACCCGAGTACAAAGTTCCTCCCCATTTTCAATGGTCGGAACAAAAATGGATCAACTATAGGTATTTCTTTAGTCGTCGGGGAAATTTTATTACAATTTACACCAAAATTTAAGATCAATTCAGCAAAAGAATAACCCAAAATGAAGAAAAAAACTTAATTTCCTAAAAACAATTTAATTTCTTCATAGAAGCGTACCTTCCATAGAAACTGAAATATCACAGCAAACTTCAAACAAAAAACTCTCTCTACCAAAACGTACAAAAAAT